GGGGGTACTTCATAAACTCCAGGATTTCCAAAAGTCCAGATTTGGGATGGGAGGTGGTATTCCCAAACTTCGGATCGCAATTACAGGCAGTATCCCCTAAACTCCGGGATTCGAAGTGGAGGCGGTATTCCCTAAACTCTGGAATTGGAGATGGGAAGGCAGTATTCCCTAAAATGTGGGATTGGAACGGGAGGCAGTATTCCCACACTCCAGAATTGAGATGAATGACAGGACTCCCAAGACTCTAGAATTGGGATGGCAGGTGAGATTCCCAAAAATTCAGGATTCCCAAAACTTCAGGATTGGGTTGTCAGGTGGATCAATAATGTTTGGGATTGGGATGACAGGTGGGATTGCAAAAAAATTAGGACTGCGACAGTTGGTGAGGTTCCCCACAAATTCAGAATTGAGATCATAGAATCCCTATAGTGTGGAAACCGGCCCTTCGGCCCAACAAGTCCACACTGACCCACAGAGCATCCCACCCAGACCCATCCCTCTAACCTACACATCCCTGAACACTACAGGCAATTTAGCATGGCCAATCCACCTAGCCTGCACATCTTTGGACTGTGGGAGGAAACTGGAGCGCCTGGAGGAAATCCACGCAGACACAGGGAGAATGTACAAACTCCACACAGATAGTCACCCAAGGGCAGAATTGAACCTAGGTCCCTGGTGCTGTGAGGCAGCAGTGCTAACCACTGAGCCACTGTGCCACCCTCCTTGAGTGGGAAGTGGGAGTCTCTTAAGATTTCTAGCAGAAATTCTTTTTCTATTTACTCATTCAAGGCATGTGGGCTTTATTGGTGAAGCCAGCACTTATTACAGTTAAGAGTCAACCACACCACCATGTCCCAAAGTAGGTCCAACAAAGATTCAAGTCAGGGCACAGTTGAGTGATGCTTAAAGGACTTCCCAGAAATACTGAACAACCCACATCCCAAGGAGCTCCTGATCCAAATTTCAAAAAAGTCCTTCATCCTCTCCTTGCTATTTTAAAGTGAACAAATCAAACAGCATTAATATAAATGTCATCTTGGGTGACACATAAAATATTAGAGGAATCTTATTAAACAAATGGAAATATCATTTTGTGTTTTTACGATGCATCCCAGACTCCGCTCTCCTCTGCCTCAAAACCTCAAGAGAATTGTTTATAACACTGCAGCAACAATCAACTAGCTAGTCAAAGCACCAGGTAACAACTGCGTGCTAGCAGGAACACAGCCCTCAATGACAGTTGAGTCTGGTTTCTCAGCAACATTGACAGAGAAAAAAAATGAGCCCAGCGTTAGACATTTTAATAAAGTATCACTGTCCACTCGAACTGTGACAAGGCATTTCTAGAGGTTGGTAAAGCTCTGCAGTTCGATAGACATTTCAGTATCAATTGCCATTTAACACCAGCTTACGGAGGTTTGTGGTGCAAGGTAGTACTCTTGCCTCTGAAGTACCCTCTTGCCTTGAATAAGTGGCCCAGAGGATCAGGGCTCAAGTCCCACCTGCCTTTGAGGTGTGTTATACATATATATAAACAAGTTGATTGTTAAAAATGCTTTTTGCAGTGACACACATAGAAACGGTGCTGAAATCAACTTTGTTTTTGTCGAGTTCATTCATGGGATGTGAATGCTGCTGCTAAGCCTAACATTTATTGTACACTCAGCGTTCTGAGGAAGGGTCACTGGACCCAAAATGTTAAATCTGTTTTTTCCTTTATAGATGCTGCCAGACCTGCTGAGCTTTTCCAGCAACTTTGTTTTTGTTCCATTTATTGGACACTCCTAACTCTGCTGGAGAAGGTGGTGGTAGGCTGGCTTCTTGAAGCATTGCAGTCCATAGTGCAGTTTAGGTGAGAATTATAGGCTTGTGGCCAACTGAAGATGAAGGCAGGATGATGTGTGGCTCGGAGGAGAACTTGCACAGGTTGTGGATTTTCCTTGCTTCTCTGTCACCCGCCCTTCTAAATGGGAGGGTATAAGGGTTTGGAAAGGGCTCTTAAAAGACAATTGGTGATTTGTTACTAAGCATCTTGTTAATAGTACATGGAAGGCTGCTGCTGTGCTCTGTAAATGGGCAGAGACCTTTCCCCTTAGTGTAGGGGTCAGTATACAAGGGGTAACAAGTTGTGGAGGTGGATGAACACAGCAGGCCAGGCAGCATCAGAAGAGCAGGAAAGCTGACGTTTCTGGTCTGGACCCTTCATCCAGACCCAAAACGTCAGCTTTCCTGCTCCTCTGATGCTGCTTGGCCTGCTGTGTTCATCCAGCTCCACACCTTGTTATCTCAGACTCCAGCATCAGCAGTTCCTACTATCGGAGTATACAAGGGGCACAGTTTTAAGGTCAGCAACTGGTGGTTTAGAGGGGACTTCAGATTTTTTTTTGGTCCTGGAAGGTGGTGGTTATCTGGAAATCGCTTCCTAAAAGGGTAGGAGAAGCAAGAACTTTCAAGACATTTAAGAGGTATTTAGAAAAGCTCTTAAAATGCCACAGTGCACACAGCTATAGGCCAAGTGCTGGGAAATGGAATTAGAATTAGAATATATAGATGCTTTCAGACCAATATGGATACGATGGGCCTTTTACCACCCTGTGAAAATGCTATGACTCTAAACTGGTGGAGGGAGAGAATGCCAGTCTAGTGGGGTGCTTTCTGGTGGATCGTGTTAACCTTCTTGAATGTGGGAATATTCCATCATACTCCTGACCTGTGCCTTGTAGACGGAAGAGTTACTTGCCACAGAATTCCTAGCCTCAGACCTGCTCAGTATTTGAATGGCTGGTCCAGTTAAGAGGTGATGAATCAAAAGACATGAAAATTCATTGAAATAGCTGCACTAAGCATATCCTGTGAGAATAATGGGAAGAAATCTTTCGGTGAATACTATTTATTTCTCATTCTTCACTTGTAATGTTATCTGTCTTTACTTGTGGCCTTGTCTTCAAGTGGTCCCGTGTTATAAATTTGACTGCTCTTGTGCATTCCCTTGCATCTCTGCTTGAAAAGACTCGTGCCTTTAGAACACAAAGTAAAATCCCACTTGTTTTTAAAAAGCCAAGTTATCTAAAGGCAGCAGAATCCATGGATAACCTATACAATCATTGAAATAACTCAATTCCAATTCCATAATGAAATAAACTCATACTTTACATGGAGGGTAAATTATTTGTCCCTCCCTTTGGAACAATGAGACAATGCTTCCTCAATGACTGATCACCTAATTCAGCACATATTGAAAATTAGACAGGGGATTTCAACTATGTTCGTGGATTAGTTCTGCACTAGGTGGTGTTTTTGGCAACTGGGTCAGAAATGGTCGGAGCATTTGACAACAATTGTATGAGTAGATCAGAAAGTACAGCAAGCAATTAGGAAGGAAAGTGATTTGCAAGGGCCTTGGAGTAGAATAATAAGGAAGTCTTGCTGGAATTATATAGGGCTTTGGTGTATTATGTGTACTTTTGATCTCCTTACTGCAGAAAGAACATATGTGCCTTGGAAGGGGTGAAGCTAAGTTTCAGTAGATTGGATAACTTTGTCATTTCAAGAATCAATGAAAAGAGATTAATTCCAGACAGCATTGTGCAGAATGGATCAAGAAGAATGAGTGGTGGTTTTATTGAAACCTATATATTTCTTAAAAAGGCTCGATGGCACATGCTGGGGAGTCAAAATTAGGGGACAATTTTATCCTAAAATACTTCAGCCATTTAGAATTCTGACAACGAAAAACATCTTACCTCAGAGTTTAAATATTTAAAAGTTTTTTTTTACTGCAGAAGGTTGAGGATGACCAGTGTTTCTGTATATTAGAGACTGAGATCAATAAACTTTTAGGTAATAAAGAAAGAGGGAACAGCTGGGAAAACAAAATTAATGTAAAAGTTCAACTATGACCTTATTGAATAGCAGTGGCAGCTTGATAACAGTAGGCCTCAGTTTCTTATTATCATATCCATTGAAATTAATATTGGGCATGTTCTGTAACAATCTACTTGGCCCATTGACTACTCAAGTTGGGAGAGTGAAATTTAGCCTTTGAGCCTTCTGCACAAGATTCTAAGTCATTGTAAGCCGTAAATTACTCTAATGTAATTCTGGGAAATTAACTATAATTTAGTGACCTTCTCTATAGGTCACTGAAAAAAAATATACTGAATGTAAGGCTGTCTTAGGAATGAACACTCCTGGAAAACAGACGTACAAAAATTACCTCAAATCCTTTTCACATCAGTCACCAATTCCAACCTTTGCAATAGTTACATATTAACCCAAATAAATATTCAGTTGCAGAATTTTTTTTAAGACTGGTGAACTCTGTAATCTGATGCAGTTTGAGATAAACTCTGCTGAGAAACGTCGTCCCAGCTGAGAGATATGTAGTTACTAAAACTGTTGGAAGTTCCAGAATGCACACCCACATCTAAACATAGTTTAGATCAAAAAGAAATCTGCAGTTGAGCTCCACATTAGGGTTCGACACGAGCGAGCCTGTTATTGTAATACAAGGACAGAGAAAGTTCACCAGATGAAGTATTAAAAGGGAAGTCCCATCTCTCTTATGATTTGTTGGGTGGCATGGTGGTTAGCACAGCTGCCTCACGACACCAGGGCCCCAGAATCAACTCCAGCCTTGGGCAACTGTTTGCGTGGAATTTGTACATTCTCCCCGTGTCTGAGTGGGTTTAGTTCAGGTGCTCCAGTTTCCATTCTGAGTCCAAAGATATGCAGGTTAGGTGGCCCGTCTGGTTGGGAAGCTCTTTGGAGGATTGGTGTGGACCTATTGGGCCAAATGGCCTGGATCCACACTGCAGGGATTCTATAAACAGATGCTGAATCATCAGATTACAAGCACTGTCCAAAGCACTAGAAATACCTCATGTCATAGCCAGTGCTGCCCCCTCAAAAAAACAGCAATTGGATATTGAGTGGGCCAGGCAGCATCAGAGGAGCAGGAAAGTTGACTTTTTGGGTCGGGACCCTTCTTCAGAAATGGGGGTGGGGTGGCAGCTGAGAAATAAATAGAGAGGAGGGTGGGACTGGGGAAGGTAGGTGGGATGGTGATAGGTGAGTACAGGTAGGGATGGTAGGAATTGGTCAGTGGGATGTGTAGGGGGGATAGGTGGGAGAGAAGATGGATAGATTGTGTCAGGTCAAGGAGGTGGGGATGAGAGGGAGGATTGGATATGGCATGAGGCTGGGGGTGGGGAGATTTTAAAACTGGTGAATTCCATGTTTCGACCATTGGACTGTAGGCTTCTGAGGTGTTGCTCCTGCAGTTTATGTGTGGTGTCATTGTGACACTGCAGGCGGCCCAGGATGGACATGTCACCCAGGGAGTGGGAGGGGGAGTTAAAATGGTTGGCAACCAGAAGTTGTTGTCATTTGTCACATACAGAGCGCAGATTCTCTATGCAACAGTCTCCGAGTCTACGCTTGGTCTCTCTGATGTACTGGAGGCCACATCCGGAGCAGCGGACAGAGTAGATCAAGCTGACGGATGTGCAGATGAACCCATGTCTGATATGGAAGGTTTGTTTTTTTGCCTTAAATGGAGGGTGGAGAGGTGTAAGGGCAAGTGTATCTCTCCCACCTATCTGCGACTCCCACTTCCCCGACCAATCCCCACCACACTCTAATTGCATTCACCTATCACCATCCCACCTACTTTCTGCGGCCCCATCCCTTCTTTCTATTTATTTCTGAGCTCCCTTCCCCACTCCGCTACCCCCCTCATTTCTAAAGAAGGGTCCTGACCCAAAATGTTAACTTTCCTGCTCCTCTGATGCTGCCTGGCCTGCTGTGTTCCTCCAGCTCCACACTTATCTCTGACTGCAGCATCGGCAGTTCTAATTATTTCTGAGCAATTGGATATTGTTGATATAAAATGGTTGCTGTGTTTATATATCAAACAGTTGCTGCATTTCAAAAGCAATTACTTGAATAGGAAATATCTTTGATCACAATGATTGAATGCTAGAAAAGATATCAAGTGAGAATATATTTTCTACTAATACCCAACAGGTTTATCACTGACTGAAGGCAGACAGTAGTAATATCTACTTAAAGACCCTCAGACTAAAAGGAGCAGAGTGTACTCCAGACATTCAGTTTTGTACCTTTTTCAAATGTTAAAATCATCCCCACCGCCTTGCCAAATATTGATAATTAAAACTGGTGAATTCCTCCAGGTAAATAATCTTGAGATCACATGGTGCAGGTGTGGAGTCCCTGCCTCTGAATTCAAATCCCATTTGTCTAGGTGTCTAAACAAGTTGATTAAAAATACTTTACCCTATGCCTCGTTGATCTCATATCCATACCTATACTATATGCGTTATCTGTGGTAGCACTCTCTCCTCTGACTAAGAGGTTATGGTCAAGTTCTGCTCTAGTACTTAAAACTCAAATGTCAAAGTTACACTCCAATACAGTATTGTTGTTCAGATGAGATGTTAAATTGAACCTACTAACTCAAAAGGTAACTAAAGATTCCCTGGCAATATTTTGAAGTGCAGAGATGGTATCCTGGCGTCCTCTGAATACTGTTTGTGGGAATAACATGCTGTACACAGATTGTTAAATAGAAAAATACAGTAGTCAATGAGTCAGTCAATTTTGAAAGTATTTCATTGGCTGGAAGATGCTTTGAGATGGCTTATACTTGTTAAAGGTACAGTATAAATACAAGTTAAAAATAAGAACAAGTATGAAGTTTCTATTTAAGGTGCAGGGCTGGATGAACACAGCAGGCCAAGCAGCATCATAGGAGCAGAGAGGCTGACGTTTCGGGCCTAGACCCTTCATCAGAAAAA